ATATGAAACATATGTAGTGTAATTAATGCTGATCATTTCTTAAAATTGAATACCCGCTATGTTCAGTAAACCTCAATTTAGCAGATACTAATTTAAAAATCTTGGTTTTATGGATAAAAGTTCAAGAATGGTTCCATAATAACCATAACCTTTCTGTATATAATATTACCCTTTTAAAAAATTTTATTACTATTTTCAAACAAATTACAGACTTGCTATTTTTTCTATTTTTTGAAATTTGGCCACATGGCACAGCAATAGGAGGTCTTTAAATCAATCCAACCATACACAATAGTAGCATAGATAAAAAAATACAATCATTGGCTATTGAGGTCTACCAATCAAAATAATTAAAATCATATGGCCTATTAAAAAATAATTTGGAATTTGTAATATTCTATGACTTTTCTTAGTTGATTGAAATTAAAGATGTAGGTCATCAATAAATTTGGGTGTTATGATTGAAATAAATGAAGTCTAGAGCAAATTTGTTGTTAATAAAATAAAAATTCAATTCTGCTCAGAAAAGAACAAAAATAATGGAACACTGACTTTTTTGTCAATTTTGAGTTAATTCCATACTTATATATAATCTACAACAATGAGCATTTTTAACTTAGAAACAATATCCATTTAGCCTAATAAATTTTAAGATATTTAAAAGCAAAGTAAATTTCAGAAAGGTTGATCTTACCAAATTAAGTAAGAATAAGACCCAAAAATTCGGATAACGGTTTTCTAGGTCCTCTTTAACCCTTATATTTTTATCTAGCCCCTTATTTTTATAAAATTTAAAAATGATCAATAAATTCCGAATTTTTGGGTCAAAATCCTTTTTTTGATTTTCTCAGAACAAAAATTTTGCCAATGTATCCCTTTCTACTTGTTGAACCCCATTTGTGTAAAGTTTGAGGTGGTGTTATACAATTAGTGGTACTGACTTTTCTAAGCAGTACTTTTTCGATTTTACAATACTCTTCACATATAAATTATTGATCTTCTTTTGAAATATCTATTAATTGCCAATTCATCTATATACCAATTGGAGCAAATGATCTACATTTAATAGTAAAATGTGGGGTTAATAAAACATATAAAATTAGATAATTTCATAAATCTCAATTTCCTCACAATTAACTTATAATGTCTTCACAAAAACATAAACCTCAACTTATTGCTGTTGGTAACTTGTTCCAACACTTCATTATGACCTATTTGCTGTAAACTAGGTGGACTTTCAATAATTGAAAAATGCCCAAGGAAGAAAAATAAATATGAGCGTTCAATTAGAACTCAATGAGACAAAATTTATTATTCATGCTGTTAATAGAAATAATAATACTTCTTTTTTGAATTCACTTTTTCCTGCTAAATCTCCTATAATATCTGACTCACAAATATAGCCTGGCCTGCAATGAATTTGAAATTATAAAAAAAAAATTTTGGAATTTTATTATGTTTTAGTCTATCAAATCTCACTTTCATCTATAAC